TGATTGCGGAGGGAACCCTTGTGTTAGATTTGAGTAAATACTGTAAATACTTACCCGCTCTAAGGTCTCTTATAAAATGCTAGGTTAAGCACAAAGCTGACAGACTGTCTGATAACAGCAATATGACGCTGGCTATCCAGTTCCCATGCCAGGATGTCCTCTGATCTCTAGTATCTAGTCAGTCTCTTGCATAGCAAAGAGGCCACAGCTTTCTACCAGCTCTCTCATCACAATGAATATCACCCTGGATTCACTGCCATCATCAGTTCTCTCTACAGCAGTGTGGTAGCATCTTATGACAAAATCCTCTCTAGCTCCACATAATTGGGACAAGTGCCCACTGCCAGAGACTTGGTTTTTGTTCTTTGTTTCTTGCAAGAGGATTATAGGGGCCTTGTGTTTGGTTTGGTTTACATGACATTCCAATTGTCACCCTATTCAGCAATGGCCTCAAAAACATCATTTGTTGTGATGTTTTATATCAAGGGTTTCCTGAATCTTCATCTCATCATCACTGGCAATGCCTGACAGTTGAGGATGATTGTCTTCTATGATTGCCTTATCTGTGGGTCCAAAGATGACTGACAAAGCCAATCCAAGATCAACAGGTTCTATTACAACTTATGCATGCATTTCCGTGCAGGGTGGGTGGCTCTGGTTTCTTGATTCAGCCCACAAAACACTGTTTCTGCCACTCCCACTTTTCCATCTCCAGTTGTCATCATGAGGTTTCAAAATACTGAGATCCTTGCAGCAAACGCTTCCTACACTTGGGGCAGTTATGGACAAAAGTCTACCATGAATTGATGCTGTGCTGTTACATTTTTTCAAGTTGGCCTTGCTGATGTCCTTGAAGCACTTTCTCTGCCCTCCTCTTAAGCATATGCCTTGGCTAAGCTGGGAGAATAAAACTTGCTTTGGGAGTCTGGAGTCATACATCAAAACGATGTGGTCAGCTCAGCTAAGTTGATGTTGGATGATCATTACCTTGATGCTCATGGTGTTTTTTTGCAAGAGGATGTTAATGTTGGTGCATCTGTCTTCCCACTGGCTTTGAAGGATCTTCTACAGGTAGCGTTGATGGTACTTCTCCAGCAACTTAAGTTGTCTCCTGTATGTTGTCCACATCTCAGCTCCTTACAGTAAAGTGGGGATCATGACTGCCTGATAAACCATGAACTTGGTTTCAAATATGATGTCACAATCTTAAAACACCTGTTTCCTCCGGCATCTGAAGGCTGCATTTGCATATCTGAAGCAATGTTGGATTGTTGCCTTCTGTAAGAGATGGCTTCCAAAGTATACTCGGTGTTCTCCAGAGTCTCACTGTAAATCTGAATTATCAGAGCTGGGGACTGCTTATTAAGAGCTTGTTGTTCAAGGACCTTAGTCTTTTGAATGTTAAGTGTTAATCCCATTTTCCTGTATGCCTCGGTGAAGACGTTAGCAATTGCCTAAAGATCTGTTTTCGCATGAGCACACACTACAGCATCAGTGTACTGGAGCTCAATGATTGAGGTCAGGGTGCCCTTGGTTCTGACTCAGATTCAGCTGAGATTCAACAGTTTACCGTCCATTCAGTAGTTTAGCTCCACTCTGACTGAAAGAATCTTCATCTGTTCCTAAAGGGAAAGAAGATCCAAGAGAAATACACAATTCCAGATGTGTATATAAGGACATAGTGTTGTAATGCTAGCTATACCCTCACTCCAGCAACATACAACTGCAGACTGACCATGGCTCCGTGCCAGGATTTAAATGGAGTGACAGCTTGTCATCTTGATCCCAGAGCAAGTAAAGTGCAAGACCTTACATAAAGATGAGAGACAAGTAAAGATACCAATTCATCCTGGCTAGGTTCAAAGCAGTTGGAAGACAATCAAAACAGTAACCAGTACAGATATGCCCATACAAACAAGAAATGCTCCAGCAGTTTTGCAAGAATAGTCAACATTTCACCATTTTTGGTTGATGTGCTGGATGCTTCTTGTCAGCAATGTTCCACCCCATGATGGGGGAATTGTAGTTATACTCTACCACGATAGTGAAGTACTTAACATCCTCTTGAATGAAGGATACATTTACACTTAGAAAATACCATTCTGAGAACATGCTATTATATTTCGTTAGAATAATGAAGAGTATCATTAGAACAGGCCTTTGGAATGGCAATAAAATAATTACAAATAGTGCTGGGTAATGACACCATTAAGAAGCTCCCTCATGTTGTTAAAAAATTTAAATCTATTAGAATTAACTGTGTTTTATCTCATTTCACTTCCACTTTTCTTTTGAAAGTTTCAAAGGTATGAACAAGGTAGATACAATTCTGGATTATCAGAAGTTTCATGTAATCATAGGCATACATTTATACCTTCAATAAGCTTTATTATTTTTTTACTAGAGACTTTATGTTGCCTTTTTAATTGTGAATATATTGTTTACAGCAGCTTGGAAGGCATTGAAATCACAAATATCCAAAGAAGAATGTTCAAGCCCCTTAGAAATCTCTCCCACATGTAAGTAGACTATTCCAGTTTGCCTCTTGGTGTTTGAGTTTTAACCTTGACAAAGTATAGAACAGTTGAGAAGAAAAACGTATGGGGACTGGCATGTGAGTAAAACTAATTAAGGAAGTCTATTAAGTTGAGTGCATTACTAAGAAAAAAAGAGAAATACGTAGTTCTCAACCATTTTAGACTCAAATACCAACTTTTAGTTTTCACTTGTTTTTTGACTATAGAAAAATAATAGAGCAATTCTTCTGTTACAAAAAACTCAGAAAGACCACAAGGGGTTAGGATGATTTAACATTATGAATTCATGTTTGAAATTTCTGGGTTTGTCTTGTGAATCATGTTTGCACACCTAACAGTGTTAACATTTGCATAGCACTCTGTGGGTGTCCTTAAAAGAGTTCATGCCACTCCGGTTGAGAATCACTGATCTAAAGTAATACTGAGAGCATCAGTTTGTTTGTTATCATAATTAAGATGAAAACAATTATTAATAGATTTCTATCATGCTTTCAGCATACTAGGTCTCTTTCAGCTGATAAACAGGCCCTGATCTTTATCAGCACTAGCAATAAAAACCAACAGTCATATGTTAAGCAAACAGAGAGACAATACCCAACTCAGATGCTAGATCCCTACTTTCCTATAAATGAACTCCTCCCTCTCATTCTCCAGCAAATGTTTTATGGGCCTTCACCTAAGTGCATGAACTAGGGAAAGGGGAACTAGAGTCAAAGGCAGTTAACCCCTTGCTCACTGGCGACAAGTAATTGTTGGATTACACTGTTACAATCTGTTTTAATTGCATAGCTTGTAGTCAAAATACAGTTTTCAATGGTATTTTTGCTACTGGAATTCCATATATGGCATTTTTTAGTGTCAAACTACCATACAACATTATTCAGTTAATTCTTAACTCTGACAAATTTTATACAAAGACTTGAAGTTTCTTTTGTGCATGGTAAAAAAAAAACAAACAAAAAACTCTACCACTGGTTCCATAACCATATAAACATATTTTACTTTGTTGGTTTTTTTTCCTAAATAGATACCAGATTCAGATATTTTTGTGAAAAACAGATCCACAAACAAATTAGCCTCTTTTCACCCTCTTTTCTTCCTCACCCAGATATTTTAAGAAATTCCAGTACTGTGGATATGCCCCTCACGTGCGCAGCTGTAAACCAAATACCGATGGAATTTCATCGTTTGAAAATCTCTTGGCAAGCATTATACAGAGGGTGTTCGTCTGGGTTGTGTCTGCTGTCACTTGCTTTGGAAATATCTTTGTTATCTGCATGCGACCTTATATCAGGTCTGAGAACAAGCTCCATGCCATCTCAATAATGTCCCTGTGCTGTAAGTATTCCTTGAGTAAAAGATAGACATTTTAAAAACCTGATTTTAAATTACCTACACTATTTATTATTGCGAACACCGATACAGTTGGTTTAGCCAATTACTTTCCAGTTTTCACCAGTTATAATACAGGATAGTCTACCCCAAACAATGCAAAGGTTATTGGATTCTGCCTTTGTTCACTTACTGTAGAGAGCAAGTTGTCATCTGACTATACTGTGTATAACAGGGCCCCCCTACTCCTCTTACTGGAAAGAAGAGTGCAGAGCAACATGGGGAGAGCAAAGCCAGTGCAGTCTGCAGAAAACATGGCTGCGAGGAGCAACAGGTGGAAGTACCCTGGCTACATTGCAATGCAGGACCCAGACTGCAGATAGCAGATGTGGGGTTGCTGATTTGGGAGTCAGTAGTACCTGGGCCCTATAGGCAGAGCTGGATCAGGTGACCAGAAGAGGGCAGGGCTTAGGTGCATATCCGCCCAGCCTCTGGCCTGAGGCAGCTAGTCTATGCCTGCAACACTATGGGGGGAGGAGCTGTGGACAGAGCTGTCTGTCAGAAAATAATGGGGGTACCATGGAGGTTGAGAGAACAAGTCTGCCTTAGGGTAGGAGTGTGACAGCTGTGAAAAAACCCATGGTGGGGGTTTATGTCTGAGTTGCAACTGGCCGGTTTATTTAGTTGTTTTCTCCCTTGGACCTTACGCTTAGACCACAGGACTGAGTTGTGGCTATGGGGGTGGTTTAGAGGCCATGCAGCAGGGTGTCTAGGACAGATGAACTGTGTTTTGAGACCTGGTCTGGGCAGTAACACAAGGGACTGAGACCAAGGCAACGAGGTCTGAGAGAGTGGATCAGTGTTGTGTGTCTCAACTAAAGAAAAAGGGCCAAAGCTGGAAAGGGTGAAGCACGCCCAAGATTTGCAGCGTTTCTCAACCCATGTCTCGTGTCCCAAAAGTGTATTGTAAGAATATATGAAAGGGTCGCAAACAAACTTTAAAACAGATTCTCCTTCAAAGGAGAAAAGCATAGGAAACTGTGGCTTTTTCCCTGCAGGCTGGCAGAGTTCCAGCCTGCAAGGGGCTGCTTGGGCCCCTCATACCCACCCCCTGCCCCACACACTGTGGGGCTGGGGCCTGCGGGCAGCAGGTTGGGAATGAGGGGCACCAAGTCGAGATTAGCTATTGATGCTTACAAATAGTTCCCTGGTACAAAAAAGCTTGAGAGCCACATGCTCATTTAAAGCATGTGAATGTATCTGTACTTGTCACAGTAGGTTGTAGCTGTGTTGGTCTAAGGACATAGATGGACAGACAAGGTTCTTCGGGTGAATCTGGTATCTTTTATCAGATTCATGCAATGAACCTTGTCTGCCTCTGTATTTGTTGTGCATACAGATACAATTGTTTTGGACAAATCCTAACAATTTACTTTCATCTGCACATTTTGTTTGCCTAAGCAAATCCTGTTCTTTGCTCTCAGTCACCTCTCATGGAATGTCAGGAGTTATTTTATTAATTATTTATAAATAAGTGTGTGATTGTGGGGTTTGTTTTTTTTAAGACAAACTATTTTGTAATAGGATAAATATAACTTCAAACACCCTGCATGTGTGTTTGATTTAAATACGAAGGGGTTAACCTTAAATTCAGCATTTCATGAGATTACAGTAATAGCATTAGAAAGTCATTGCTACTAATGTGTAAAATATGATTGCAACAAGTCCATTGTTTAGGACTTTTGAAGCTGTCTGAGTTGTCAAAGTATTGGAATAGCTGGTTTGGACACACATGTCAAAGTACCTTATCTCATGCCTATTTCTCTACTGCCTCCCTGCTGAGCCATGGGCCTACCAGTGGGTGAAAACCCATACCCCAAACTCCCACTCTTAAGCATAGCACACAGCAGACAGTCCAGACACAAGAGGGATCTTAAGCATGTGAACATGCACTCAGGATCCCTCTGAGCTGTCTACTCTGCCCAGTTCCCACAGCTCAATACGCTAGTAGTGAATAAGCAGGGTTTCTTTCTCAGCAGTTCCAGATATGCAAAAAGGGAGTGTAAATATGGCTTGAGAGGTTCACAGCAGAGAAATCTTCTCTCTCCCTGCTCTGCAGTGTCAACGTCTCATACAAGTTCATCGCCAGTTTTATGATATTTACTACTAATCTTAAAACACCTACTGCTGAAAAAAGACACATTGCTTGAGAATTTTGCATGTTATTTCAAAGGTAATTCATTTATAAGTCCCTGTGGCTGTGGAGCAAAGCCTGAAAATGTGTATCAAATGCACCCTGAACACTCAAAAGTCCACGGCAAAACAAAGGAACATGACTTCTTTCTTTTAAATTTCAACATGTGAATTTTTAGCCAATGGCATTATTTTTTAGGGGCCTTGTTATACACTGATGATTTTTGAACATGGGAGGTTAGACTATATACCCTAGAACAGGGGTGCTCAACCTCTGGCCCGTGGCCCAAATGCCGCCTGCAGAGCCATTGCATGTGGCCCTCAGGGCTCCCCACAAGTAGGGGAATTTGACAGAAGTAACAGAGCCCATTAATATTGCCACCCTTCCCCTATACCAGATTTCTTCACCCACTTTCCCCTTCCCCCTGCATGGCAGAATCAGGGTTGGGCCATGCCCCCTACCCCCTGAGCAGCAGATTCAGGGCCAGGCCAGGCTAGACCTTTTGGCATAGCTGGATGGGGTACTGGTGTGCTTGCCTTGGGCACTGGCCACCAGCCTGGCACTGCCCATCAGGCCTTCCAAGGAAAAAGGTTGAGCATCACTGTTCTAGAAGATATGCAACAGAGACTAGATGTCTTTTAAGGTCACTTATGGAGTTCTCTTCTACAAATTTTCAAGAATGTACAAGAAACCTGTCAATACCATGTCAATACCACTGTTGAGCTAAGTAGATGGGCACACATCTGTCATGGGGTATTTTTCAATCATAGCCAAAACCTCTGTGTGAATTGTACTGTGCCTCATCCCACATGATGTTTGTAGTTATCTTGCTCAAGTCAAAATGAAATTATTGTATGCCAGCAGACACACTTCTACTTTGTGATTTCCACACCAAATTTAAATAATCTAGTTATTTTGTGACTACAACTGTTCAAATAAAGGTTAAAAGAGTGGGTTTTAATGATGTATGTATACAAATTACATATTTTCCACTTGTGCTCGTAAACAACTAAACTGCTTTTACTTTAACTTAAAAAAAACAACAAAAGACTAAAAAACCTTTGGGTAGAAAACAAGCATGGAAAATAAAATATTGGTCCAAATAATGAAAATTTTAGGCAGTCACCAAAGCCAGGATTTTAGGATTGAAACTTTTTGTACAATCTTAGCTATAGTCATCAATAGGCTTCCATTTGCAATACTGATTGTATATGAACACATACATACAGAGTGAGTATAGTATAATGGAAGATTATGATGTACATATAATATGACTTTTTTCCATTTTTGTGCATGTAAATTGTACTGTTAAATTCTAACTCTACAGGTGCTGACTGTCTGATGGGAATATATTTGTTTGTGATTGGAGCCTTTGATCTTAAATTCCGTGGCGAATACAACAAGCATGCTCAATTGTGGATGGATAGTACCCAATGCCAGTTGGTGGGATCACTGGCTATTCTGTCCACAGAGGTCTCAGTTTTACTTCTGACTTACCTGACTTTGGAAAAATACATCTGCATAGTTTACCCTTTTAGGTGCTTGAAGCCAGGAAAGTGCAGGGCAATCTCCATCTTGATTCTCATCTGGATTATTGGGTTTGTGGTTGCTTTTATTCCACTGAGCAATAAGGAATTTTTCAGAAACTACTATGGCACCAACGGCGTCTGTTTCCCGCTTCATTCAGAACAGGCAGAAAGTACAGGAAGCCAGATCTATTCTGTTGTTATTTTCTTAGGTAAGTATATTACATTTCTTCCTTCATATCTATTGGATGAGATTATGTAGCAAACCCAGTTTTCAAACAAATATAAAAGCATCGGTAGCCTGTCCAATTCCATATCTGGCTGCTCAGATTTATATAGAAAATGACATTTGATGCACCAAAGTACTAAAATCTGTACCCCAAAACTGAATTTTACACCATATATTGTCCATATTTTAAATTCGGCCCATTGTGAAATTCATGAAGACCCCGAGGTGCTTATTTTTAAATAGTGAAGGTACAGTTATCCCTCTGCAGAATGCAGGCACTGATCTCAGCAGGATGTTATGAGCCTAAAATCATTAATGATTGGCAAGATGCCCTGATACTGTGGAGATGAAGAGCCATGTAAGTACCTGAACTGATTAACTTTGTCAGAGAAATAAAGCAATAATGAGACCAAGATTTAAAACATCTTCACCCAAGGGGGGGAGGGGCGGGGGCGCATCTACACACACAATTAATTGAAAGCAATAAACTCTGGCCCTTATTGTTCTGCAGTTTATTGCTCCCAGGTGTGCTGTTTGAACATGCACCCAGGACCACAGCACGTTGAGCTGGGTTGGAGCAGCCCCGGTTGGCAGGGGGCCCAGGGGGGTCAGCCTGCCAGCCTGGGGCTGCTCCAATCTATCTACCCTGTCCTCACAGTAACATAACTACCTCTCTCTACTTTGAGTGGGGTCATTAATTTCAATGCCCTAGATACATAGGCAGAATCTTCAGTGCAGAATGCATCTGAAATCCCCTTGTGATAGTAATTTGGGTATAGATTCTCATTTACTACCGGCTCTATAAATTCCCCAACTTGCTAACAAGTCTCATACATATCATTGCTATCAAATCACTAACATGCCTTAACTTCTTAAATAGGTGTAAACTTGGCAGCTTTTATCATCATTGTGTTTTCCTACGGAAGTATGTTCTATAGTGTTCACCAAACAGCTATCACAGCAACTGAAATCCGGAATCATATTAAAAAAGAGATGACCCTTGCAAAACGCTTTTTCTTCATTGTATTTACTAATGCACTGTGCTGGATACCCATTTTTATATTGAAGTTGCTTTCTTTACTTCAAGTGGAAATACCAGGTATGTTCTTTGTTTTCTTTCTGCTTCCTTTCTAAATAAAAACACAATTGAATGACTTGCTTAAAAACTATCAAATAATGGAAACAAGTGAAACATGCACACCTTTCTCCATGAGCATCCCTGCCCTGGGTGCCAACATTCCTAGCTACGTCTTTAGGTTAAACCCTCCCTCTACATGTCTGTTTTGCTCAGCCAGAATAGCAAAAGCTTAAAAGCAAATCTCCCCACATTTCAAATGCATTTTGTTCATTATATAAGGGTTTAGTTCCAGCTGGTAGTTCTGATCCTATGGCTCCTGCTGGTTCTGATGTCTGAATCCAATCAGACAATACAAACACCTCTCTTGAATTAATATATTAATGCCATCACTCTTGCAATGCTCATTTTGAAATTCTGACACCAATGCATCAACATAATGTTCTTGTTACATAGAACAACATTTGATCTATTTTCCC